GAGAGCATGTACGCAATGGGGAAGGTGAAGATGGCGGCGTCGGAGTTCACGCCGGGGAGCGGGGAGGGCGGCGGGGAAGGGAGGACGGCGGCGAAGATGAAGATCTTGAGAGGCGGCGGAGGGGAAATGGGAGGGTTTGTACTGTGGCAGAGGCGGCCGGGGCGGTGGAGCCTGGAGCTGGTGGTTTCCGGGTGCAAGATTAGCGCGGGGTGCGACGGGAAGGTGGCGTGGCGCCAAACTCCATGGCAGAACTCTCATGCTTCTCGTGGGCCCCCTCGCCCCCTTCGTCGCTCTTTACAGGTTGGTCCCTCTTTTTTCTCTTTTTTCGACTTTTTTCTTTTTTTGCCATTTTTTTCAAACGTCTTTTATGCTGGATTAGCCGTTTTTTTCTAATCCTCATTAACAAGAATAAGGAATATCAACTGATTGACTGTTTATTTGGGACGAATTATTAGGCCCCTTTATTAGTACCATTTATCGCTTTATATATCTGTTTTTATTTCTCTATAAAATGATTGGAAATCACACCCACAAAAGTAAAAACAAAAAATATAAAGAATACTTATATTATTCAATCTTTGATTAAAGTTAAATGTTGTGTTTTTTTGTTGAGAAAACCAGTCTTTCAAAACACATTTACAGCTCAAGAGAAACAAATGTTTCCCCATTCTATTTTCTAAATATGACATGATTATATTATTTCATTAAATGACTAATGAAAATATGTAAAGAAAGTGATTAACATTTGACCATATAAATAGTGACTGGGAGGATCATTTTAAGACGAAGAGAATATAAAAAAGTCAAAATGTAATAATATTTTTGGGACGAAATGAGAGGAGTAATATTTATAGGTTGTCCAATAAGAAATACTCCCTCACATTCCTGAGTATTTGTCTATTTTTTACTTTTTTTTGATCAAAACTGGTAAACTTTGACTTTAAATTAAATAAAAATGATATAAGATACTCCGTATTGATACAAAATAATTTATCGAAAAAGTCAAAACTGAAAAAATACTTAGAGACGAAGATAGTAGTACTGATATTACATAGCTAAACCCACAAGATTAAAACGCAAAATTTCTTAGTTAAATTTATTTGCTTTACTAGATGAAAAGGACAATATAACTTCTCAAAGTCTTCTTGTGAATAAGCCAACCATTAAGGGCGTTCATACTTGTCATTTTCGGAAGGTTTATTCATGGACAGGATCAGTTACGTGGTACATTTAAATGGGAACAAGAACTGGATTATTTGTTTATATATATCACCAGGCCATTAGTATATTTTAAATGACATCTTTGTGTCCCTTGGAGAAGTAATTTAGTGGTTGTAAAAACAAACTAATTTTGTTGACTTTTCAGGATAAATTTTAATGATATAATAAATCGTCTTGAAATAAAAAAATTATCTTTAATGAACGTATATTATATTTTAATCGAGTCAATAATATTTTAAAAAAAATGTCCTCAAATATATTCTAATGTACCATTGTGCACTAAATAAAGTATTGACTTGATACAAGAAATTTAATTAAATAGCCCTGACATATATGACTTTTTTTCTAGAAAATTTAGTGTTTCGAAACCTTAGCATTTTTTTCTAGAAAAAATTGCTCCATATAAGACTAAAAGGTAGTGCGTTTTACTAAATAGGACCAAATATATTTTATTTCCTTTATGACACATAATTTAATATGATCGTCCATATATGCCCTCATTAGAAGCAATTGTTGGATAATGAATGATTGTGGGATGACTCTACGAATGTGATCATTGGCGAATAGTGTTGAATAATGACTGATTATTTCAATGAGTCAATGACTATTCGAATTATTTTTAATAATATTTTACTCTACTTAAATTGTGTAATATGTCATTTTTCTCAAAAGTAGAGCATTTTAGAACCTTCCATTACCAAACGTTAGAGTAGATATGACTGGTCGTATTTAAAAAAAAGCTGATATACTCCCTCCGTCTCATGAAACTTTTCTCCTTTCTTTTTTTATTCGTCCCACAAAACACTTCTCATTTCTATTAAAAAGTCACTTTTACCCCTTACTTTTTCATACCCTAACTATCACATCATACCTTTTTACTAATAATTTATCCATCAAATCATACGACATTTTTGGAAATTCAATACCAAAATACACTCCCCTTAAATCCCTCATAAAAAGCAAAAGTCTCATGTTTCATGGGACGGAGGGAGTATATGTTTAAGTCCTATTTACGTAAATTACTTTTTTTCAAATGTGGAATCAGCCTCCAAATATTAATCAACGACTTTCTTAGTTAGCAATTGATGGGTATAAACCATTGATACCACCCGATAGGATCGCAGGCGCTCGGGAGGTTCCAAGGTTTGACCGAGCTTGACCTCACCATCCCCGGTAATCTGATCGGGTCTACGTCGGGTGGGTCAGACCGATAAGATCGTGACTTGATCCATAGAAGACGTGAGTACTGGCCGGGTGAATGCCTTGAGATGAACAATAGTCATAAATAATGTATTTTCTATTATTATAAATGGGAGTGAAAGCCTCATAAAGAAGACAAGCAATTGATCTCTATATTATAAATAACAAATCAGGTTACATGTATTCCCACCTACAACACTTCCGCTTTTACTTACTTATACTCACATTGGTTTTACACCATCAGCAATAGAGCTGGCAAATCGGTCAATCAGGTCAGGTTCGAGTTCGGTCACCTTAGTTTCGGGTTACTTCGGGTTCGGATAAGTTCGGGTTCGGGTTGACAACATGTTCATGACCCAATGTCATAAGGTTCGGGTTTACCCAATGGTTACAAGTTTCATTTATTTTTTTGAATGTTTAAGTAATTTTTATGACCTAGTGTCATATTACGATTAAAAAGTTAAATATGTAGAAATTTAGAAAAATATAAGATAATTATACGATATCATTAAAATTTGTTATGAAGATATAAATCTATACACAAAAGAACGAGTAGTAAGCAAAGAAATATAATTATAATATTATTTTTATAACACTATATTTCATATTAAAATATGTGATTCTGAAAAAATCTTAGATTAGCGGGTCAGTCAGGTCTGGTTTGGGTTTGGTCGGATTTGACCCATTTTTAGCGGGTCATTTCAGGTTCGGTCAGCAAAATCTTTGTTCAAAATCCAGTATTTTCGGGTCGAGTCTTGGGTCAAAAACAGGCCGGGCCATTTTTTTGTCAGATCTAGTTAGCATTTAGCAATATAGTGGTATACATTAATTTACGGCTGGAAACTTCCTATTTTTTACATTTTCTATTATTAATTATTCTAACATTGAATATGAATAGAGATTATGCATAAATTCTAACTACTCCCTATTTTGATCACCAAAGTCAATCCAAATCTTGGCTTTATATCAAAGTTTAGATTATGTTTTCCTCAAGAAGTCAGCATATTCACATGGCTTTGGAAAAAAAAATCTTAAACCAAAAATGTTTGGCTGCTTGTCTCCATCTGCCCCGTTTGGTTGGACGTATTGCAATTAGTTCTAATTCCTGCTTTCACTACCAAAGCAAGAAAATAAGTCTTCAAACTTCTTGGGGGGGTGGGGGGGAACAGAGCCTATAATTTAAATTAGGGTGATATTAGGTCATTAATTTGGACTATAAATACTTGGAACTATATTAAAAGATTAAATCTAGTCAATGTGAGTCTAAGAGCATACAATTGTCTTTGTGAAAAATTGCCTTCCCAAAATACCCATATCCTTATTGTACCCACTTGTAGTTCTACAAATGATTGTGTTCACAATGGAAATGGCAGGGGCTTGACCCAAGATCAACAGCGAATCTATTCTCAGACGCCATCTGCACGGGGGAGAAGACGGTGAACGGGGAAGACTGCTTCGTGTTAAAGCTAGAAGCCGAAGCCCGGAGCTTAAAAGCTAGAAGCTCCAGCAATGTGGAAATGATAAAGCACACACTGTGGGGGTACTTTAGTCAAAGAACAGCCATGTTAGTGCAGCTAGAAGACACCCACCTGCTCAAGATCAAGTCCTCCGAGAACGACTATGTGTACTGGGAGACGACAATGGAGTCGTCGGTCCAAGATTACCGCACGGTCAACGGGGTTAACATCGCTCATGCAGGTAGGACGTCCATTTCCCTCTTCAGGTTCGGGGAAAATGAGGAGGCGAGCACCCGAACCCGAATGGAGGAGGTTTGGAGCATCGAGGAAGTGGACTTTAACATTAAGGGCCTTTCGAACGACTGTTTCTTGCCCCCGAGTGACTTGAAGGACGAACGCCATGCGGGCTCCACGAAGAAAGACATGACGGTGGAAAGTTGGATCGGGGTGAAACTCAGATTGAGTAACAACGGTAGTAAAGCGAACTCGGGGAAAGGGGTGAGGATTGTGGCCATTGATGAATATGATGTGGAGGATTGAAGAGGTGAGGGCTAGTAAATATATACATATATATAAGTAACACATAAAAAGCTAAGTTTATGTCATTTTGGATTCTTGATATAATATGCTCTGGTCATTTTTGTATATAAAGACCATGGAGAGAGTATGTCATGATTTTACATATATTTGAACACTTAATTAGTGACATATATCATAGGGAATATTAATTGATTAGATGTGTATTGTGATGGTGTTAAACTATCACAAAAGTTCTTACTTGTTTTCAACAAACTAGTATTAATATTATTATTGTTTTCAAGTGATGTACTTTATGAATGAGGTGTATTTGTTTAGTGACTACCTTAATCTAACATGATTACTAGCAACATCTTACATTACATATCATATTGTATCATGCTTTTTTGTTATTGTGAATAAACTTTTCCTTATTGATTCATGTTCTGATCCATAGTTTTCTTCATGACCTGTCCAGTTCTAGTTGTCATAAATATGATAAAGATATTCATCTAAATAGTATTAAAACATAGTAATTTTTTAATATGGTATCATGTGTTTCTATATTCAATATAGTACAAATGTTCAATATCTACTGGTCATTGTTCAAGTAAATTTCTAGCGCCAGTGGAAATTATTCAAAATAAATGTTCATCATTGCTAAGCATTGTTCATTATTCAAGTACTATTTATAAAATAAAAAAAAATTCTACTATACTCCCTTCGTCCCCTTTTTGATTACAATATTCTGTTTTTGTGTGTATTAATAATAAGTCACATCACTTAAAAATTTCCCAAACTACCCTCTGAATTCATGTATTGGTCATCACGTGGGAAGAGCTCAAACTTGGTTTAAGTAAAGCAAATATGAATAGTACATCACTATTTACATCATTGAGACTACATAGAGACCAAGACATCAGGATGCATCACAGTTCTTACACATCCTCCCAAATAAACATGAAAACAAATAAGGGCTATCACAGAGGTTACCTCTTCCCCTTCCCCTTCTTCGCTCGAAAATCCCTCTTCCGTGTCTTCTACAACCAAACAATTGTACTTCTTTCTGTACCTCCATGTAGGGTCTGTTTCAGATGTGTATGAAGGAGATTCAAAGGGAAGCACGCTGGTATTTTTGTTTTCAGAGATATCAGGGGATCTAGATTTAGATTTGGATCTAGATCTTGAAGGCGAATCCTGTGATAAGAGATGAAATGTTGGAATTGATGGATCTGGAGCCATTGCAGAAGAGTTACAGAAGAGAGAAGAGAAAGACTGAAGAAGATGGAGGAGAGTAATGAGGGGATAGAGACGAAGAGGTAGGGCGGAAGTTTCGAGGAGATAGGGGACGAGTGGTTCTGAACGTGGGAGGGGTATATTGGTAACATTTATGGGTAAATGTTACCAAATTTAATTTTTGTAATCTATTTTGGGACAAATAGATGAAGGAATATTGTAATCAAAAAGGGGACGGAGGGAGTATTAGGAAATGACATACTCCCTCCGTCCCTAAATAAACTTCTCCTTTCGTTTTTTCTTTGTCTCCAAATAAATTTCTTTTTTCCCTTAAAAAACCCATTTTACCCCTTACGTTTTCATACCTTACCTATCACATCATACCTTTTTACTAATAATCTACATATCACATCTTACTTTTACATATCACATTAAGGATATTTTTGAAAAGTCAACACAAAAATATCACTCATTTAAATCTTCAAAAAATCAAAAAGGGAAGTTTATTTAGGGACGGATGGAGTATATTTTAGTAGTGTTTCGTGCAAATTTTACACATGATAATAGCAATACTTGTCAACTTTCATCCTTTGCCACGGATCTCTATTATCTAATTAGCATCTATATAATTTTCGTATTTAGTTTTTATGTTAATTTATAATTAAAACATCTTAAAACCTTTTTAAATATGTATTCTCTAAAGAAACTAAAATCTACATTCACTCTTTAAATTCTTAAATGGATTATATGATTATATCTCTTGATCTATTAATATATGCTTCTTCCAAAAGAAATACGGAATATTTGTGTTAAGACTTACGGAGTATGTAATATTGTGCATAGGGCCTAATACAAATACGGGCCCAATTTTTTCAACCCATTGTTTGCAACTCTTAGCCACATTAAAGCCATCAAGGTTTCCAAATGTCATGGGATGACTCAGGGGTGCTGCAGCGTCACATTCGTAAAATTGACCCGAGTTATCCCATAACATTGGTTCCCAATGTCATGAGAATCTTGCCTTAAAGTCATTGCACATTATTTTTTTTGGAAATTCCCAATTTATTTCTCAGAAATTTATGGGCTAAATTCTTTGAAATTAATTTCCTCGTTAAATATATATTCCAAAAAATTAATTTCCCTTTTCCGCTTGAGATAGAACACACAACTCTTCTTGAAATTGAAATCAGTGATGATTTTGCCTGTTTTAATTTAAATTCATGTCATTTTCGCAAATACATTTTTACTATTATCGGGAAAAATATGGTCACAAATGATGATTTTGCACAAGATTCAACTCTCTTCGGTTTTTGTCTTTCTTGTTCCTTCCAAATTTGACTTACATAATTACATTTTTAAACTTTGAGCATAAATTACAGAAAAAATGCATTGAATTATAATATAAATTTAATATTAAATATTACTATAGCTTATATACTCTTTTCAGTTGGCGTGTTTGACTGAATTTATTTTTAGACAAGAAAAGAATAAACTTTGCATAGGAAAGTGCTAAAAAGGCAAATTTGTGAATTTGGTGAACTGTTTGTTTGTGACTCTAGCATCACTGATACGTAATATGTGAAATTTGCACTAAATAAAACTAAAATATAATGACTTTCTTAATCTAAGACTTAAACTTTTTTATTCCTTAAATAAGACTTAATAATGACCTAGTAGGAGAAATAATGTCCAGTAATGCTAGACATTTACTTGAATAATGACTAATTGATAATGACCAAAAGTCCTACCTGGGGAAATAAAAACAGATTTCTTCACACACTTTCACAAAACAAACAAAATTATTAGACTTTGAAGCATTTCAAACACAAATTTTCAAACTCTGAAACTCAAATTCATCACAAAGCACACAAATCATTCATTTCTCAATCAGTTATGAATTAATGTTCTAACTGGAGATCTCAATGGATTTGATCTCCGGCTTCTTCACCTCCTCCTTGGGAACCGTCACGGTGAGCACTCCGTTCTCCATCGACGCCTTCACCTGCTCCAATTTCGCGTTCTCCGGCAGCCGGAACCGCCGCAGGAACTTGCCGCTGCTCCGCTCCACGCGGTGCCACTTGTCGTTCTTCTCCTCCTTCTCGCCGCTCCTCTCGCCGCTGATCTGCAGAATCCTCCCCTCCTCCACCTCCACCTTCACCTCCTCCTTCTTCAGCCCCGGCAGATCCGCCTTGAACACGTGGCTCTCCGGCGTCTCCTTCCAGTCGATCCGCGCGTTCGCGAACGCCGACG